AAATGCGGCGGGCCCTATATTTTTAAAAAAATGCGGCTCGTGGTCCCCACTTCCAAATGTGAGTGGGGTGTAAAAGATTAGGTAAAAAATTATGTACATGTAGCATAACCCTATTGCAATAGTAACACTTCACATCTCGGCTCAGATGAGATTGAGAAAGATCATCCCCGACCATAATTCTTTCTTTGTGATTCACCTTTACTACGTCTCATCTTAGACTTTATCAAGAGAATCGAAACTTCATTTACTGTTAAATTCGATTTTTCAACTACCAGCATGATTACCAATATGACTTAGACTAGGAAGAAGTCAAAAATAACAACATGATTACCAATGTCTCATTCTCGATAAATGGTGGTTTGGTTACTTTTAAATTTTAATAGTATGTAAATTAAGTCCCTGTTTAGCACCCATTCTCTTTCTCTTTCTCATTCTCATTCTCATTCTCTTTTTTCATTTCAACCACACACAATCTCCAAATAAAATAATATTACACAAAAATCTAAAACTTTTCATCACTTTTCCACCACACATTCTCCAATCAATCACTATTCCAAAAATTTTCAACCCATTAAAATGAGTGTCAAACATTCCCTAAGTTTGTTTACTTTCTTCGATTGTAAAATAAGATCTAGATTCAAATTTTACTGCAGTAGAAAGATCTAGATTCACTTTTTGCCTCTTGTGGATATTAAAGAAGATTGAAATTTGCATCATTTTTCACACTTTCCGTCGAAAAATATAATTTGCGTTTCTTTTGCATCTTTTCATTGAAGAGGTTTTCAACCCATTCAAAGATCTAAATTATCTGTATTACACCACAATTGAAGATGCTCGATATTTTCCTCCCGTGTGTGGACTCTTGCAAAAAGAAAGGCAAGATTCATTGATAATTAATAAAAAAATATTTTAAATTTTACTAACTAAAAAGTTCATAAGTAACAAAATAACAATTAAATTTCAAAAGTTTATCTTAATAGAAAATAAAGTAATAAAATATGATAGAAATAAATATTACTTCAAGAAAAATTTGTCAGTAATCAAAGTAACAATTAAAAAATATAATTTAAAATTAAGGACGAATTTCGACAAAGATATAAATAATTTAATAAATTTAATTATCATGCAAATTTAGTCAATAAATTAATAAAAAAAAAAAAATTACGATTAAAGAGAAAATAAAATTATATGTAAACTTCATCGACGATGAAAGCATTTGCTCTTTATTCTCGAAAAATTCTCTTTAATGATTTTGGCTTTGGCCATTGAAAAACTTACTTTATAAAAAGTAGACTTCAACTCATTTTTTTAAAAAAATTTGAGATATGGACGAAGAAAGTGGGACCCACTTGCTGACTAGACGATAAAACTTTTGAGAATTTCTTATTCGGGGTTGCAGCGGACCCTTTGTTAATAATTTCCCCAGAGAATATTTAGAATTCTACACAGATTTTCTTGCCCTAAATGAAATTGTTGAAAAAGAAAAAATGAAAACTTCTAAATTTCTAGGTTTAGGGCAAGATTTCCTCTCGATATAAGAATCCCTCCTGCCCAATTTTGGAATCTACCTGAATTATTATTGTCTTTGCATAGTTTGGTCAAGATTTTCAATCTTTATGCTTTGCATTACACGCCCGAGGCTGTTAGGGTAAATTCGATTTTGAGCTGTTTGGGAGTTTAAAGGAACCTAATGATTCACTGGGTCTTGCAGTAATTGATTGATTTTGTAAATCTTTTTTTGCTCTTGGCTCTGTTACATTATAACATAAATGTTCTAGGGTTTTGGGTCCTTTTTGGGGATTCCTTTGGGAAATTTATTAATATTTTAGAGTGAATGTATCCTTCTGATATGGATTTTGCCCGCGAGAGTGGCACGATGTTGATTCCCACACGTTTTGTGTGGCCTTATGGTGGGAGAAATGTACAAATCAGTGGCTCATTTACTGGGTAAGAATTCATCAGTATTGGAGAAACTATATCTTTATGCGTATTTTATTGAATTTGTACCTTATTTTTGTTGTCTTTTGGATGATTTTGATGTTCTCTATGCTAAATTGTTAGTGTGTACTTGATTGAATTTTTTTTTTTTTGGGAAAAGGTGGACACAACTGCCAATGGCTCCGGTTGAGGGATGCCCTACAGTGTTTCAGACAATATGTAGCCTACCACCGGGTTATCATCAGGTTTGTCTGTAATGTGGCATTTTTTTAGGAAGTAGCCTTGTGCTTCATTGATGATTTGCACATGATTGTTAGATATGATCGAAAGATATTGGAAATTTGATGTCTGTTATGATGATTTATTTGACGGAAATAAATGCTTTATAGAAATGGCCTACATTGATGATTTGCACATGATTGTTAGATATGATCAAAAGATATTTTGAATTTGATGTCTTTTAGGATGATTTAGTTTGACTGAAATAAATGCATTATGAAAAGTGGCCTGCATTATGTGTTGATTTGCACTAAGTTTGTTATTTGGGGAATGATATGTTTTGCCACGTGCTACATCTGCTTTAGATCTATCTGTTAAAATCATCTGGGATGTACCAATTTTGACTTGCAAGATGATACTTAATCAGGACCTCCCTTATTTATTGTTATCTCATTATTTTTTGGCCTTCGTTGACCTACATTATGACCAATTGATTATGACTGTGCTGAGAATGGATTTACCATTAAACATTAAGTATTTTATTTCTTTATTTATTTATTTTTGTGATATTGGAAAAGAAGGTATCTGGGAGCTCAAGGTAAAAAGCGGCACGAGGATTGATTTATAATTTTGTTACTGTTGAAATTTTAGATAATGAAGAAACTTGACTCGTGAATTGAATGAAGTTCGAAGGAAATAAGTATTGGCAAGTAAACATAAATGCTATGAAATTGTAATTCATCAGTATTGGAGAAACTATATCTTTAGAAAGAAGTTCGAAGGAAATAAGTATTGTCTAGTAAACATAAATGCTATGAAATTGTCACTGATCATAATAGCTGTGAAAAAATACTATATGGTGGGCAAGTGTTTTTGCTAAGAGGTTGCTGGCAAACAAATAACTGACTACAAGAACAATCTGTCCTTCACATTTCTCACGTCTATAACATCTATGTATCTGATTTATGTGATGCTCCTATCTTTAGCCTCTTTTTTGGTTGTCCTTCCAACTATCTCAAATTATTGTTCCCTTACCTAAGCAAACCAATTTATTTTCTTCCTAAAATCCCCATTTTAAACTAATATCCTTCTTTTTTTATATATATAATTTTTATCAATATTAATTTTACAAGACACGTTCTTAGACCTTTTCGAGATTAACAAGGGGAAAAAATGCTAAACCTAAGATGCAGTGCTGGGTTGAACTATATTATTTAATTTCTGATAGAGGAGGAACATTTTTTTTTTTTTTATTAGAATGGAGTGATTATGAGAAATCTCAATAAATCAAGTATTTGCAAGTGAAAATTTTGTGACTGTTGATATTTTAATAGAGCATTTGAATTGTTTGCTGATTTCTCATTAACTGTAGCTTTTGGAATTATTGTTACTTTACGCGCAGTACAAGTTTGTTGTCGATGGTGAATGGCGACATGATGAGCATAGACCTTTTGTCAGTAGTAACCTGGGAACGGTGAACACTATCCTCTTAGAAAGGGAAGCAAACTATCTTCGTGCAATGCCAAGTGAACAAGTTCCTCCTGTTTCTGATTCCAACATGGATGTTGATAATGATGCCTTCCGCCATGTGGTATACATTTCTGCCCCATCTACTTTCTTTCACAAGTACAACTGTTTCTGGTACTTTACTGTTGCTAATGTGTTTGGTAATTGTTATTTTTTCCCTCCTATGTTCTGAGTAATATGTTTTAAAATCGTTGTTTGGGAAAATTCTGTTAACCTATTTAAGTGCTTTGGAAAAATCTAAAGGTGGAATATGTTTGATGATAGAAAACAGACTTACATGCAGTTTCCTGAGTCTGAATTTAATATGTTTTTGTGTCTCACTGTCTTCAACCATGCCCATTATTATTTCTTTTTTCATTGTGACCATGTTGTTGAAATAATACACGCACTTGAACTCCCGGATCACTTACATGAAAGTGAGCTATCTGTTTGTGGCACTTAGTCGCTTAAATGTCCACCACAGGTTCGAGTTTCAGATGGTACGTCGTATGAGCCCCTTTCAAGGGTTTCTGAAGCAGATTTGAAGATAACCCGGCTTCGTATAGCTTCATTTTTGTCAATGCATATGGCTTATGAGTTACTTCCTGAATCAGGCAAGGTCTGGATGATTTATCCTTGCCTCCTCTTTCATCATCGTTTGTCATGGATGTTCCTCTGGCCATGGGTTACTTCTATTTTTGTTTTCAATGATTTAGTGGCTCTTGGTTTTGCAGGTCATTGCTTTGGATGTTGACCTTCCTGTGAAGCAAGCGTTTCATATTCTGCACGAGCAGGTATTGACATTAATAATGCGAAGGCTGAAGTTATTCCAAAGTCCTCTATCTATATCAAGGAATGTTAGATATCTCTATCATTTAAATATAATGTGAAGAACATTGCTATTGTAGAACTATATGAACTAGCAATATGATTTTCCAGTTTTCTTTTTTCCTTTTTTTGATTCGAGAGTAATATTTTGTTTTCATGGACAAGAAGAGGGTATCTTCTATTACCTTGGGTGTGCATTAGAGCGAGCATTATGAAGCACAAAACAATTTTGCATTTTGCTGCTGCTGGAGTTGTTGACCACCTCTATTTGACATCTATGGTGGGCTTATAAGCTTGCTTATTTTACTTTTTTCTCTCCTTATAACTAAGCTTATAAGCCCACCCAAACAAAAATGGAAAACTTTATGAGGATATGTTTTTGGGAAATACTTTTGCCTTCTATTTTAAAAGGATCTACTGGGCTATTGAGTCCTGTTATTTGTTTTTTAACGGCTCCAAGAATCATGAGGGCTGTATTTTCTGATGTTTGTAGTCATTTACAATCTTTCTGGTATATGCACCGTTCTGATACTAGTTTTCCAGGGAATCTCTGTGGCACCTTTATGGGACTTCTTGAAGGGGAAGTTTGTTGGAGTTCTTAGTGCACTGGATTTTATATTAATTATGAGAGAGGTATGTACTAAGCTCTCCTGTCTTTATTTTGTAAAGAAGATTATTTAGCTCAATTATCTGGTTTTCTTTCATCCTTTTCTTTTCCATGATGACATTTCGATTGGGTGCATCAATTTATGCCTTGCGCACTTTCTAATCTTTGTTTTCTTTTATTTGTATGTATGAACTAATGGAATTGGCATGTCACATATATTCATTGAAAAGTATAGTTCCCCTCGTGTTTTGCACATTTGTCACACGACATACAATGTTTGACCTAATAAACCAGTATCTGATCAGCTGTTTGAAGCAGGAAGAGCAATAGATATTTAAGAACTGATAAATGTGGGACACCAGTGATAAAATTATTTGGCAGCATAAATTTCTGAATTTATTGGTCATCATCCTTTAGTGATAGAGTATTCATCTGATGTTGTGTAAGACCACTTTGTGATCGAGGGTATTGATAAACACAAATGACAATATATTTATCATTTTAAAACTTCTGTTGTTTTTGGCACTTAATCTGCACTGAGGTTAAAGTTAGGGATGGATATGGGACACAGAAGCATTTGTATCACCTGATTTATCAGCGTTTCAATTAACCTCGTCTACCAGGTTTTGGTCCCCTATTTGTTTGTTCTTGTTATGCAGTAATTTGTGGCATAGGTATACCTTGATTCACCTAAATCATTTCATGTTTTTTTTATGTTTCTTTCTACATCTAATGTGTATTATCTATGTTGCAAGCATAATAAATATAGGCCATAAAATAAGCTTGTCATAGTTGATGGATAATACTTGCTACCAAACAATAATTTTTTGCAGAAATGATGGATTTCTTTTCTGAGTGTCCTAACAACTTTTCATATAACCATTAGTTACTAGTTTCTGGACTGCGAAGTCTTGAAATGTGAGGTTCCTGATAGTCACTCTGTATTGGCAGCTAGGTAATCATGGGTCCAATATGACAGAGGAAGAGCTAGACACACACACTATATCTGCTTGGAAAGAAGCAAAATCATTCCTGAACGGTCAAATTAATGGGCAAGGAAGTGCAGTTCCAAGACTTCTTTTGCATGTGAGTACTATTTGTTGACTGTTAACATGTCTATTTCACATATGAATTCATAGATAAATCTTATACATACAAATATTATGGAATAAACAATTGGATACTACTTTTGTCTTACAAGTTACGTCCCTGTGATGATGGAAGGTGTCGACACACTTGAAACTAATATTTGATGTAACGAATGATTCCTATAATGGTTGTCTTTTACACCTTATGATTACTGAAGCCATCTTCCATACTTGGCATCATTTTGCGAGTATTTAGAAACATTCTAGTGAATTATAACTTGTGAAAAGTCCTGGTGGAATCAGGGAAGCAAGAACCAGGTATAATATGACTGACCCAATGATTGGTGTATGGTTTTACTTGCCTTTGTGACAAAAGTTTTAAACTGATCTTACGACCATTACCTATTAGGATATTCTTGTGATAGATTGGTAAGCAATGCAGTTGATGCAAATATTGATGGAAAATGACATTCATTGCCATGGCCAGGTTTTGCTGTAGTTGCATAATAATAGTCTTTCTGCAGAAAATGATTGTTCTATTTGATTTACTCATTTCATTTAATCTACCATTCAAATAGTGGTGTTTTTGTCATAATTCGCTTTCTTTATGGAATAACAAGTTAGCATAAAATATTGTTCCAATAAAAACACCGTATGTGCCAAAGAAATCAACCCAGACCTTCATTTGAGATGGAGGTAATTATTTTCAATCTGGTTAACTGGTTCTTTTTCCCTATAAGCATGAATGTAATTCCTTTCTGTTGACTTGATGATAATTTTTCAGGCTGGGCCAAATAATGATTTGAAAGAAGTTGCTTTGAAGATTTTGCAAAGTGGTGTGTCTACAGTTCCTATTATTCATTCACCTTCGGAGCATGCATCAAACCCACAGCTATTGCATCTTGCTTCTCTTTCCGGAATACTGAAATGTGAGGAGAATGTGCAACTACTCGTGCGTGTGTGTGTATTTATGTATGGCATAGTTTCGAAAACAACATATGCTGTGTTCTTGACATTCTGGCACTTGACAGGTATTTGCCGATATTTCAGACATTCATCAAGCTCATTGCCAGTACTTCAATTGCCAATCTGTGCAATCCCTGTTGGTACTTGGGTTCCGAAAATTGGGGAGCCAAATCAGCGGACTTTGACGATGTTGAGACCCAATGCATCACTTAGTGCAGCACTGAATTTATTAATTCAAGGTATGCATACTCTTCAAGAATTTTAGATCCCCTTTGAGTGGTCTCTTTTCTCTCTTGTCCCCAAGTGTCAACCTAATCTTATTAATTTTCAAAGTTTTACTCATTTCTTCCTAAACTTTTTGGATATTTTAATTATCTTGCACTTCTTCATATGAAATCACTTAAAAGTAAAATTTCTTACGCGTGTTGTCTTAAAAATTGTACATATAAAACTTATTTAAATGCACAACTCTTGCACATAAACAAGTATGCTTAGACCCTGAGTGTACTACAAAAGCTAGTACATTTATATATGAGAAAGACTTCAAATTCTAAATTATTTTGCCAGAAGTCAACATTAGCGGTACATTTTTCGAATGCTTGTTCCTTTAACTTGCCTTAACTCGCCAATCTGAAAGTTAACCTTTTTGGCCTGGAAAGGGTATTGGAATAGAATAAGAATAAGAAAAAATTCTTTCAACAATAAAACTACTTCAAAGCAATTTGCTCTCAACTCACACACACAGTGCTCCAGTTACTTCCAACAGAATGCCTAAGCCATAATGTCTCTTTCATTGCAGCTCAAGTTAGTTCGATCCCCATTGTCGACAACGACGACTCTTTGTTGGATGTATATTCTCGAAGGTTAGTAGTGCCTATAGTTTTCTGTGCTTATGGCATTAAATGATGTTTTTCAGGCACTTGGGAACCAATATTCAATCAAGGTTTTGTAATTTAAGGCTATTTTGTTTGTTTTTGACAGTGATATTACTTCTTTGGCTAAGGACAATATTTATACGCACATTAATCTTGAAGAAACAACTATTCATCAGGTAAGCACATTTATTTGGTTGGCGCCGCATACTGCATTTTCATTTCGTATCACTTAAGGAACATAGGTGCATGCAGTCTTCCTTTGGCAAGAAAAGCGTTTACTGGGACCAGAAACTGATTTTGAAATTCATATAATGGGAAGTCGTAACTAAATGTATGTTTGAGACCCCCCCTCCCCCCCCTCCTTTTCTTTTGACAAAAATACATTTTGGAATAATGAGTTGATGGAGAATGCGTGGTTAAAAATTAAGGAAAAGTTGTGTTTTCGTATAATATTATTTTGTTGAAAAATGTGTTGTTAAAAATAAGAGAGAAATGTATTTTGAAAATGATGGGGACCAAACAAGAGCTAAATGTCTTCTTTGAACTTCTTTCTCCTGAACACCGGGGGAGTTGTCTGATACAAAAGTATTAGTTTTTTCCTTCCTAGCTTTTTGCACAATGTTCTGCTGGGAGAAAAATAACAATGTTGTCTTCATTCGGTGCAAAATAAATATTGTTAATGAAATTGTATCCTGTGCTTAAAATGTCCCAAAGTTGTGCACAGTGGGGGAGTTCATATGATGTAGGTATGTATGTTGATTTAGAGAAATTAAAGGTCTTTGGTAAATGTGAGCTTGTCAAACTTTTGATTTTGAACAATTTAATTGAATTAGAAATTTGTGGAAGAAAAGCCGCATATGTTTTCTTACTTGCGACTTTTATTTACTGATGCAATTCAGAGATAAGTGGCACATTATTTCTTTTCTTTGCGTATACAGTTTTTCTGTATTAACTACCTAATTTGGGAATTATAGGCGTTGCAATACCGAGATGATGACTACGGGAATCAAAGATGTCACATGTGTCTGCGGTCCGATTCACTGCATAAAGTCATGGATAGATTATCCAAGCCAGGTAAGCTATTCTTTGCTTTCTGCTGCTTACATAAGCGCACGTTAAGCTTGAAAGTAAGTAAAGTTTACTGGTTGCCGAAAATGTTTGTGTGTTAATTCTAAGTAAAAAAAAAAAAAAATGCTGCATGTTTTGAAAGGGTAGTTTTTATCTTACTGTCAAAATAAATGAATAACTAGTCACGTGGTTACTATTTCATTGTCAGGCGTCAGACGGCTTGTGATTGTAGAGGCTGGAAGCAAACACGTAGAAGGGATTATTTCACTGAGCGATATCTTTAGGTTTCTTTTGGGTATGTGAAACAATGGCAAACAGCAGATCATGTTGGTGGCGCCCACCTGCAACGAATCTCGATTCTTTCGTATATACGATTGGTTGGCTTCATATTTCGTGGCCTGCTTTTTTAGGTTAAAATAGGCTGAAGAATGAGGCGTGTACATTGTAATATTGTCGTTTTGCCTGAATCTGCTGGTGTCCCCTCGGAAGATGTCATTACCCAAATGCGAGGCTAATGTATGCGCCCGTTTTGGTGAAAAATCTTACGGGAAACAGAGATGTTTATGCTTAAATAGGATGTTAGGAAATAAAGAGAGATAATTATTGGATGATTAGAGGCGTTTTACTCATAACTATATGCTTTTCATTTTTTCAGTACGTTCTTTCTGGTACATGTTTCTTGTTATAGTCACCAATTGCACCAGTTATATTGGTTTTCTTTTCGTCAAACTTTCAAATGGGAAACCCTATTTTGTTCTTTGTTTCTTCTATTTGATCTATGGCTGTATGCTTGTGGAGTCGTATGAATTTTCTTTTTGACAATCAATAAAATTTCATTCATGGAGCTTGACTCTGAGCAGGGGCTAATCCGTAATGCCTGAACCAGTTGCCTTGGTTTTTCTTAGCGTATATCAAAGTGCATGTTTGGAAATGATTAAATTAAAATAAAGCAATTATAAGCTATAAGCTCTACGAAATGTGTAGATTCATGCAAAATGTGTGTATAATCAATTCCAAACATCCCCTTGTCGACTTGAATCCCTTTTTTTCCCATTTCATTTCGATGGATGTCTACATCTTTTCGCCAATGTTCTTCGATAGTCCTCGACTAGAAATAATTGTCAATGGTTTTCTTGTAGAAGCATCTCTTAAATCATCTTTGATAATTACAAAACCAGTAATGGCTTCGTCTGTTACTGATTTGCAGGCCATTGGGTCAAATGAAAATGCATGTATAACTGAATATGATAGTTACTTTTAAGTAAATTTTTAATTTTAAATAAGCAACTTATTTATAACTGACTAGTCTATGCTACAACAATTTAAGCGGAGCAACATTTGGCACAGCCATAAATTGCAAGGAGGGTGAATTCTAGGCGAGGGCGCTCTCCTTGGCAGCTCAATCTGAGTTAATCTCTCCAAGGCCATCAATGTATCTAGTCTCGAATTGAGACTGATTTCCAGCTTCTAGGCTTTCAACGTCCACCAACATTAACATCTAAAACCTCTGCATATTTGCTTGTAAGTAAAAAAAATCATGCTTAGACAAAAAATGCACTATAACTTTGGTGTCAACCAACTCTGCTATTGAATAGAATTTAGAAAATTTAGGAGTTGTTCTCTTCGTGTTTCAATTTTGTGTTTTAAGTTTTGAATTTATTCTGAATTTTGTGTTTTGAGTGTCCATTTTGAGATTGTTAAAAATGTATTTTTTTTTTTTTTCATTGTGAAAAATTGTTTTTAAAATTAAAAAATCCAAAACCCCTTCTCTTCCCAACCCCTCCCCTCTCTCGTCTCTGTTCCCACCGCCAACAATCAGATCGGCCGTGCAGTGCCATGCTTGGAACAGGTGGTTGGCGATGGTCACTCAACCGTGCACGACACTGCAATCCTTCGTCTTTCTGAGGTTTTTTTTTTTTTTTTTTTGTTGACGGTGGTGTAGGGGTGTTGTGGCAAGGGCGACGGCTGTTGTGGGTTTTGTTGACAATGGTGGGTGGGTTTTGTTGTGGCAAGTGACGACGATGGGTTTCCTTTTTCGTTGGCGGTGGTGTAGTGACGTTTATCTTGAAAGGATGCGTCGCAGTGGTACAGTCCTTGTTGACGGTGGTGCAGTGATGGCCACAGTGGTTCAATGGTGGTCGCGGTTGTGCAGTGGCAATTGGTGATGGTGTAATGGTGGTCGTTGTGGTTCAATGGTGGTCGCGATGGTGGAATTTTTAAAACACACAACGCATTTTGAAATTTTTGGCTCAATTTTAACCGAAAACACCTTGTTTGTCGTTTTCGGTTTTCTTTGTAAATTTTAACCTCATTTTCGGAAATTCATTTTTGAAAATAAATAAGTAAACGTATTTTCACTATTTTGAAAAATCGAAAATAAAAAAACGGGCTAAAAAGGGTAAAGAGAACAGTCCAATGGCTTCTCAAGCCACAGAGTTTCATAACAAAGAATTGACTACAATACCTTCTAACAGACCAATCCCAATACCAATGAAACGGAAGAAAATTTCACAGCATTACAGAATCTGAAAACCGAAATAGCAGTTAATTTAATTATGTGCATGTCAGATTCACAAAGGCAGGCGTAATGGGTCTGATTTTACGAGGCTATGTAGGTATCAGTGCCAATATTTGGCTCTTGATTATACCCATGCACTTCTGTATTTCAGCATAAACAGGAAGGTTCTGCGAACAGCACGGCTGCAAACTTGTCACAGCAGAATCGAGTATCTGTGCTATATCAGACGGTGGGAACTCTCGTTCTGTACACTTCTACAATTACAAAGTCATGATTTGAACCAGTCAGCATACGAATAAAATGATGACTGCAGCATGTTTGGTTGCTTTTAAGTAACTTTGTCTACGAACATATTTCGATAACTTTTTCCTTATTCTCGAGTATAAAAAAGTGTTTTTTATTCTTGAATGTGACTCTCACCATACTGTCGAACGGAGTAATGTTTTCCCAACTTTGATGAATAAAAGAAACACATAATTTTAAAACTCATTTACTTGTAAGTCAACTTTTTAAGCTTAGCCAATCATAACTTTCCAAGAAAAAGGAAAGTGTCTTAGTATTTCCAAGAATTACCTGAATCATAAGCAAAGTAGCTACACATTGAGTAATCAGTTCTGAAGGAATTTGTGCCTCATCTTTTTTATCGGATGCATTCAACTTACGATCAGGTGCCTGCAACAATTGTCACGTTCATGAAACAATTGATCTTTGGATGTTATGGGAAACTCATAGGGAAAGGTAGAAGATCTCACCCCTGGCTTGCAGGAATCATCCAATGGAAGCCGATCATTCACATAATCAATAGCTTCCTCAATTTTCTCCATGCCATCCTCCCTACCCTTGAGTGATGATATAGCCTGAAACAAAGAACCGAGAGGAAGATTTGGTAAAAAATCACTCCAACAAATGACAACACCAGTTGTACAGCAAAGATTATATATAGCCCTTGTTTGAGCACCATTTTGAGGAAAAAAATGTATTTTGGAATATTATTTTTTGGAGATTGTGTGAATAAAAAATTAAGAAAACGTTTTCGATTTACGTGTAAAATTATTTTAATGGAGAATGTGTGATTGAAAATGAATTTTGAAAATACGAGTTTTTGATAAAACGGGACTCAAACAAGGGTATAATTTCGTATATCCATCATTATTTGTTATAACTAGCTGGGGTCATTAATCCAAGTTACAATGTCGGTCAAAGAAAGGTTCCTTGTATTTCATGCCAACAATATGAGTTGTAAATCTACTTATAGTAAATTGATTCTACAAGCTCTATCAGAATACTGAAGCAGCAGATATAAATGACAATGCTAATATAGAGTTTCTGTACCTGCATAGCTGCATCTACCATTGTTCGAGCTTTTGTTCTTGAGCTATCAATAATTTCATTCACTTGTATTCCTAATTCGTGAGGTTGAGATATTGAACGGTCATTAGAACTCAATATACCACCAAGGTCGCTGAAATTGTTGACTGGCCTTGGCCATATAAGCGAACTGTTTCCATGGTACGTGTTCCGTTGTCTCAAGCAATACAAAGCCGAAGATACCTGCAAATCAAAATGACAGTTGAGCACCTATTGAACTGCAAACACTTCTGCCAATCAAAGGAATTGGTAGGGATGGCTAAAAAAAAAGGTTAAACCGATAACCCCAGGGATCCACCCGGAACAGGACGAGGATTCCCTGCGTTATCGGGTACTCGAGGCGTGGACGGGGACGGGGACGGACACAGGGAACATGGTCCCCACCCCCTTACCTGCCCCATTTAAAGTCCATTTCAATATATAAGTTTGTGATCACACAAAAATAAAAAGAACCACCATCCTTTCTCAAAGGAACATGTACTATTCTACAAATTGGAAAAAAGTAACGATTTTCACCAACTAAAAAAATGAAAAAAATAAAAGCAAGAAATAAAATAAAATAAATAAATGGGGTGGTAACCACCCCACCTTAAGAAAGGATAGGGTTGGGGCAAGGGGGCAAAAACCCAAACAGAGCATGGGATGAGAATGACTGTCCGACCCCGATCCACTCTGTTTCCATCCCTAAGAATTGGCAAAAGCAATATTCAATTCTAATTTATGGAGATCTAGACCTGTTCATTGGCTTCATTCAATTGTACAAGTACAGCAGCATATTGCTTTTTGAACTGCTCTGATTCCTTCAAAGAGCCATCGCCATCCTTCTGATTTTCCAACACATCATCATTCATGCGTCTCAACTCTAGAACAATAGCTTCCTACATGTTACAAAATGAACATTGAGCTCTCTTCTAGTTTGTTACCTTGATACAGAAGCACTATAATATTAATTTTGACAAACAGCTCCAATTGTGACCACATATACCGTATATATTGTAATGAAAAAAAACACTGTTCAAATACACAACAGCACAAACTTAGTAGCAAAACATGCAAGGAACAATGTCAATGAGTAAAACAACATATACATCACATTAATAGTTAGATGTTATGACCTTTTTGTCAAGAGCGCGAGTCAGCTCAGTAAGAGCTTGAACATCAGCTTCTTTTGCTTGAATGTGAGCTGGTGTACAAGGCTGAGAATACAGTGTCTGTTGGTAGGTAGCAGTTTCCGTAGGCCCAGTCCTAGTTTGAACATTGGCATGAGAGGAGGCCACCTGGCAAACAAAACATTCTGGTTAGATACTCCTGAAAATTATAAAATGCTACATTTATTATTCTTCTGCAGAAGTGAGAAAAAACTTTTGGCACAGAAGATATGCTACTATCTTCTGTACCAAAAAACTTTTGGTACAGAAGATATGCTACTAGTATTGAATAAAACTCCTAAATGAAACAACTGAGATAGGAGTTCATATTAGCCCACAATAGTTGTGATAAAGCTAGTCAGTTGAAGGGTAAGTCTATGTACTCCTTGAGACAAAAGTTCCACCACTTCACTCATCAAACAACCAGTCTGCTCATAAATATAACATAATTTTATTAGAGATATCTGGTTCTTTTTCCTTCCTAGGATCTTGATAGGATTTCTAAATCCATGATAACTCATGAAGACACGTCTAGAAGACTATTCATATGGACAATATTATAAGGTGTTAGATGGAAAATAAAAAATGATATTAGCGAGCCAAGGCACAGAAATTTCCAACCAAATCATATTAAATTTTCTCCATAATAATCACCATCTGAAATAATATTAGGAAGTGCCTGGACAATGGAATCAGGTACTAAAAAGAGGGAATCAGAATTAGGTATTATGAACTTTAATCCTAATCACTGAGAATGAATATTTAGGGAGAAAAATTCCATGCCTTTGTTTGCCTCAATAAACTACTGGCAGAATGAGCTGGAGATGAATGGGAAAGACCATCGACATTATCCAAATTGTCACCCGGGGAAAATTTCACATATTCTTTTACTTGTCCATTCATTTTCAACTCATTGAAATTCTCAAAAAACTTATCAACAATAAGTGCATGTCTCCAGAGCAAAGCAGGCATATTCTCAAAAGGATTTGAGGGCATGCAGTCAATGTCCTGCGAAAGGTAATATTAATGTATTTCGGTAGGATCGTATGGAACAAAGCAAATAACAAATAAACGTATGTAGAACGATGAATGCAGAAACATAACTGTAAAAAATCAAACAAAGAAGCATGAGCATGAATGAAACCAGAAGGTTGTCTCTTCACATTTTTTGTTTTTTTAACAAATGTCTTTTGAAAAGAACAGAGAAGTTGGCATCAAGCAATTTGCAAATGAGAAACGGAATTAAAAGGAGCCTTGTTCCATAGTTAATTCCATTAAAGAACGATATGCAACAGAATAAGATACAATCAGAATCATGTCTCAGGATATTAACTATACCTAAAATTGGATATAAAAAAAATAGTAAAGATAGCACCTCCTTTATACCAAAACATTTGAAATTGTTTAGCACCTATTTGGTAGGAATTAAAATCCAAATTTTAATCTAAATCAAAGTCAACAATTAATATTAACCACGTATTTCATGGGACCCACAACTTTTCAACCACACATTCATCAACTTTTATCAAAATTTACTAAAAATCTGATTTAATTCCCACCAAATAAAGGCTTAATGTGGAACAAAGTTTGAGAAAATCGAACACAACTTGCAATAACAGTACATTTAAAATGACAGTCCGGAAAAATGGGGAAAGTACAAGTAAAGATTACTTTGACTTCACATATGTCTAGTGCATACTCATCATGAATCAATATACCTGAAATTCACATCAAACTTACAAACAAATTGAGGTTATACAGAAAACTTCACCTACACAAAAATCACGACCAACTAAATTATAGCCCCATGGGAATTTTCTCGCGCTGCCTATTTTTTCGAATCATACGGACAAAGATATTACTCAAGGAAACACCTCCATACTACTGGTTAGTACTGAAGTCCTCAATAGTATTTTCGATTATTAAGGTCAGAGTTCTTACATTTGTTCAGATAATATAATAAATCTGTGTGACGCTGTAGCCAAAAACCATATAACCTAAACATAAAATGAGATCAATGATGCAATTTGGGAATAGATTACCATAACAAATTCAACCCCAAGTTCAGGACGGTCAAACTGAATCCGGCACCTAGAATGATCAACTGTTAGCACACTGCCATCATGTATCTCCCTTGTTTTTGGATGAATGGCTATGACTCGCTGTCCAACTGATAAAGGTCGTGCAAGATCCGTTGGTAGTCCTTCCCTGATACCTTCACGGAGCTCGGTGTAATGTTTTCTAACAGAATCCCTATAAAGATTAAGCTTCTCCTTTTCTTCTTTCAGGAACTGCTCAGAGAATCTCCGTGGTTTCCCAAGAGAGCTGTGTGAACATGAGATTGAAGATATGAAGCATTGTCTAACATATGAATTCTGCATCTTCAGCATATAAATGATTAGCTACAGATACCTTCTTATGACACCCCATTCCACGCGAGTTAATCTTGGAACATGCCCTAATCCAACATGATATAAATACTCAACAAACTCCCGTTTTGCAAACCAAGGATAATCGATGGCACTATAGAACCACTCATATGCACACCATCTCCGAACACGAGGATTCAAAAGGCAGTTGGACAGTTTTTTCTGAAAGAAAAAAAAAGGAAAAAAATGCAAAATGGAAGTCAATATGTGAATAACCAAATTTCAAAGTTTGAATGAAGTCGAGAACAGTAAACCTTATGATCAAATGATCTCTCCTGCAGTGAGGCGAAAGGCAAGTTACTTTGGTCAACTGCAATTTTATTTGGTTTTTTGAGGTCCATCTTACGCCTGCTCCTAACTTTAGTAGGTAAATTAACCTGGTTAACCGCGGGGACCTGCACAGCTGATTGTGCCGAGTCACTTCCTTCTCTCCGTAGATCAATACTTGAAGAATTTTCAGAAACTTTCATCAGTTTCGGTGAGCCAGTTTGTGAAGCTTTCTTACTCTTGTTCATCAACTTCTTCCCTGTATCTCCAGCCTAAAAGGAAGCAGCATCATTTAAATGCAGTGAGCTCTTGACTGGATAAGACACAGGCTTGGGTAATAAAACACTATTTGAGATCAATAGGGAATGTATTTTGTGATGACTATGGTATCTCAATAGAGTTCAAAACAACTAACAATTTTGTAAAATTTAGAAGTTGTACATGTGATCTGCGTTCATTCATAAAGAGGGAGGAGAAGCTCCATCATTCTCCGAACATAAGTTATTATGCAAGACAAAAGAAATGGACAAGGAATATAAAACAAAGTGAACAAAACCACCTACCTCAACTCCTAGGGATTCACCAGGATGAGCTTCAGTTTTCTGAATCTGCAAAAACATTTTTGCACATTTCATGTCAAAAATTAGATTTGATAATGATGATTAGCAAAGATGAGAGAAGTTTTGTGTCCTATCCCACCTTATATGCTTTTCTTCTTGATGTTTTGGTGATAGATTGACGAGGATCCGGATTTTCTGCAGCAACAGCATTAACATCGGAAACTGAACTTTTTCCAGGTTTTGACGTTTTACCAGAAGCCAATTCAGAATTTGTCATTGATAGGTAACCTTTCATCCTAACCCCTGCAGATCTACGTTTGTCCCTTTTCTGGTTTACTGGCTGAGCTTCTAATGACCCAGACTCATCAACATGATCATCGTCTTCATCTTTTAACTGAATCCTTGACTCTGACATATAAGAACGAAATTGAATTAAGTTGTGGCTGAAGAAAGAATAAATTCATACACGATCAATGACGACTGGAAAAAACCAATCAATAACATATATTCCGCTGTTGATTGACATGGTAAATTCATAAACTGCAATAGCTTGATCTAATGGAAACATTTAATGAAACTATAAAAGATAAATAGTAGAAAAAATTCAAGAGTCAGCTTAAATTGTAAATGTGCTCCAAAATAGAACTGATAAAACTGCAAATAAAACAAATTTCACCTCTCAACATTTTTAACTGCTTGCTGAAGAAACAACCTATAAAATCATTATTAACAACAAAGATTTGCAGAGACCATATCAACATCACATATACCAAAAGCTACCGAATTCTGTGTCGTGAGGAATGCACAGATAAAACGCTCTTATATATGAAAATGGCCTACAAAAGACACAGTAAGAACCTGAAATGAAATGTATCTAGCAGAGAATTTAAATGCCAATGCAATAAACTAAATCAAGCCACATGATAAGCAACTAACTGGATTAAATAATTTATATAGCCAATCTGACCCTTCCAATGATATTTAAGTAGAAAAATGTGAGCATAATTTACCTTCTTCCTTTTCTGTTGGCATCATCAATGACAAATCAGCCAAAGTTTGAAGGGCATCAAAGTCATCTTCATCTACAAAGACCGACATATACCAACAGCATGAATGCTTAAAGTTAGTGGAAACTGATATAGCATATGAAAAGTTCTTTCCGTAACAAACTTATGGCAGAACAAAAAGTGCATGTAAAGTATCCAAAACAAATTAACGTAAGTCTACATTGCAACAACCTCGACAATGATAGAGCAGTCCACATTATTTAATTGTAAAAATGCCCACATCCTAAGAGATCATCTATTGAATCTCTCAAGCATCATGATGTCAGTTCACAAAGGGATGCGGTGCAGAAGTTTCCAATCTCTGTCCCCACTCCCAACATTCAACAAAGTTTCTTATGACTAATCAAATTATCTAGGAACTCTTATAATGTTTACTTCTGTTTTATAATTAGGCTAAAATGAGCAAATGTAGGGGGGGAAACAAATGAGAAAGGACAGTGAAGTTGAGGCTATAGTCATATAACTTCAATATAGGAAACATGAAAATTAAGTCAACATGCTTTCATAACAGGCAAGCATACTAATTCCTAATTCAACCGCATGATCTATTATTGGCAGATACAGAATGGCGAATGCATCTAAAGAATTTTATGTCGACCTCTCCAAAGTGACAAATCTCTCATGCACCCAACTATTCAATCATACAAGAACACAATTCAGAGTAACAAAAAGGGATTTGAAAAATGGCACAACAAGAATTCAAAAAGAATTGGTGTACCTCTTCCGAAAAGAACCTTTTTGCTCTTCTTTCTCTGATCCATGGGGGACCTTAAAATTTTGGGATCTGTGACCTCAATGTCACCTCTCATTGTGCCCATCCTTTGACCTTCCTCCGTCCTGCTACATTCTTCCTTGATGTCATCCAAATGATTCTCACTATTGTAATCAACTTCAACCTTCGCAGATTCAAATTTTCTCCCTTTCTGTCTTGCTATACCAGGACTTTCAGATTCCGTCCTATGAGATTTATACCTAGCTAACTCTCCAGTGTCAGCTTCCATGCTCCCTTCTAAATCTTCTTCATCCATGTCAGTAGCCAAGAGCTTCGCGTTGGCCATTTCTGGTACAGAATGCTATAACCAACAACGAGTCCATAAATTGCGCAAAAGAAGCATGTTTTAACAAATAAGGTCAAACCATTACCCTTCTTTGAGCATTCCTAAAAGGTGAAGACATAACACTCTCAGCTCTTCTATTTGGTGTTCGAGAAACCTGGGGAGAACCACCTCTTTGTGAAGCCTCGGCCAAAGCTATGGCTATTTCATGAGCAACTTCTTCATCATTGGCATTAGCCTTTAACTTTAAACCTTGCCTGGTTGGAGAAAAATGCGTTTCCGCATTAATATGTTCATATGAAAATGAAACGGGGAACCTTGGTGTCCTTTTTCCAACAGGACGAGGTCGGCTTCCTGAAACAAACTCCAGAGGAAAATCTCAGAATTACGTCCAAGGGTGACTCTAATTACAGCAGGAGAAAAAGAAACACTATGAACTCTCTCTCAATTTCAGACATCAGTTGTTGTGAGGATGAGTAATTTAATGTCATTTGACACCAAAACATGCATGTAACCAACAATGACGGTAGACGATGTGAGTTATGATATGGCCTAGCTCGGATTATTTTATAAAATGAAAAACAAAGAGAAAGGGATATCCTTATAGCATATAAGGAGTCTCGTTGTGTAAAGGTTGGTTATTCAGAAAAATATGTGAATGTTCAAAAAAGGGAATGCACCTATATGTTGTAAGACTTATGTATTCTTTTTGCCTGCATTGGCACCTAGGAAGTTTAAATGTAAATCATTCAAGAAATAAGGTACAGAAAGATGAAGCCAATTAAGGCTCAATTGAAAAAAGGTTCCTTGTGTGCTATCAACAGTTTGGTATGAATGTGCATGGCGCACATGCATGTTTGTTTTTGCACCTGAACTCGTGGTGGTTGGATGCGAGAAAGGGAGAGAAACAGGGAGGAGTAGCACATTATTGAATACATGCCAGAACTTGAATTATGGTTTACATTACATACCCCCAGAGCGTTTCTTCTTTAACACTGACAGACAACCATAATTTGGCGCAACAGTCTGGGAATGCGAAATAGATTGCACATCCAACGCTTTAGAGGTAGTGGGCTGGAGTTTTCCCCGAGCACGCTTTTGGGGATTCCGAGATGATCCTGCTCCATCATTGCTTTCTTGTTCACTATCACTTCCTGCCTGTCAAGCCAAGTTCCACTTAACTAAGTGCTCACAAGTCACAAGCCAGTTATAATGTCAACCAAAACTCAAAAGACCAACAGAATTACCTTGTCAAAACTAAGAAAACACATAATTGGCATTTAATATTGTTAAATACTCTCGAATATTTATTAACTGTAAGCAGTCTTACTGAGCAAATTGCACAAGCAACTTGCAAAAACCTAGTTAATATTAAATACTCTCAAATATTTATTAACTGTAAGCAGTCTTACTGAACAAATTGCACAAGAAACTTCCAAAAAACTAGTTGATGATAGGAAGTTGATTCCATCAAATTCCACTGTGTTTAGGAACTAGCAGTTTTCAAAAATCACTTCCATTTGAGGGAAAGGGAGAGGAGGGAAAAAAGATAACAAAATATCACTTTTGGTTCTAAGGACAAGAACGAAGCATTTAGATAATATCCAACAAAAATCAATTGCACCCAAATTATTACTATTTGAAGGATTAAGTCACAACACATTTAGAGTTCTCCACTCATTTTTTATTTCTTTTTATATGTTCTTGTCTTCATTATAGGGCAGCACTTGTCATCAAATCCTGTAGATTCTTTTGTTCATCCATAATACTCTGTTTTTACCCAAAATGAACACTTTCAGAACTTCTTAACATGAACTTTTCGGTAGAAAATGTACAGTCTGCTATTAGAATTAAAATAATCTCACCAAATTGCTGTAATGATCAGTCATCATAGCAATCAACCCAACCACAGAAGCAGTCCCCTCTGGAAGAGATAAGTATGCCTGAAATTACAGAAGTGAAAACGACTTACCGGCTTATTAATGTAAAGAAACTTGAGCTCTCGATCATAATTTCCATTTAAGTTGAAGAATATGAGAATCTCCAAACTTCAAATTTAGTGTCAGTTTTGGTTTGACATAGCCACAATACATTCAAGAAGTTCTACAATAATGGACGGTGTGATGAGAATGAAACTTAGCATTGTGCGCCCTTGTCGTTTTGTTAATTAAGAAATTAACCATTCCCATCTAAGAATTGCATTTCAATAATTTTAGGTTTGTTAACAATAACGCCAAAAAAGGTTATTCACGATAGCATTTTGGTCTCTATATATGTGGAGCAGAGAATGCATATCTAGTTCCGTTGTGGCACATTCTATATATTTTCTTTCTCCAGAAATTCTACATCATGACATTATTCAATTCACGTTCCAATCATTTCAATATTCTATATTATATCACACTTCAACTATTAAGCCAATTTGTAGAGCCATTTCCATGATTGCAATTATTGTTACGAGAAGCTAGCATAAAAAAGAATTGCAATTGAGGCTTGAAGTCTTCAGAGTTCATTTTGGCTACTTATAACGTATCGTGCCAAAGTATAATAAAAAGGAAAATCGGTTTATGATAAAATCAATCTTTCCATGGATCAAATGTGAGTGTGTTTTCCAGAACTGAACTGGCCCTCAAAAATCCCAGAGAGGAAAAAGAAAAAATGAAAAAACCTCAAAGGAAAAGAGTGATTTTCATAATTAAAATAGTCAAATTCAAAATGGAATGTGAGGTAACAAGAAGCTGGAAATAGGTGAGGTCAGACTAAGATCTGTTGCAAGAAGATGAATGTCCACTAGTCATTTCTGTTGAAGACAAATAAAAAACCACATTCACCCTATTCATTGTGTAAAGAGCCTCGACCATTTCGACAGATCTGTTTCGGACAGCACCAGCCACCTGTAACCATGCAAAACAACGACAAAAAGTTGTTACCAATAGATAAAATAGTCAAGAAAAGATTACGCCCACTAATTAATCCACAACAAGAAGCATTATGAGCCCAACTTTACCAATGATTTACTTAAAATCTAGATGGAAAAGGTTGTATTATTTGCAAAAGACCAGATCATTTTTTAAGGATAATATTTCTCAGCGATAAATTAATGTGGCTCATATAGAGGAGTCCAAAATTGTAACTAACCTTTTTCCAATCTTTACCATGTTTGCGGAAAGCTTCATAGAAACGACTTAGCTCTTCCTTGCTCCATTGGGAGCCAAGCATGTCAGACAACTTCCTCTTCTGTGTAAAAAAAAAAAAAAGGAAATGGTCATTCTAATGATGCTTCAATGCTCATTCCATTTCTATAAGCTATGTACTAACAAAAATGTTTCAGAAAAACAAAATAATTGAAATTAAGTAAGAAAAGCGCTGTATATGGCATTTAAATGTATCTGTGACTACAAAGGAAGAAAGCTTGCATGATGAAAGCCATTTTAATAGAAATTATTTAATAAGGAATCAAGTTTGACGTCCTGAAAGTTGCAATAAGAATCGAGCAGCTGATGTCCTTAAAAAAACTCCCTCTTCTAAGCAATTTTCCCAGTTAGACTCAGAAGGCCATGTCAATTGTCATTGTTACACTGACCATAGCGCAAACCCCAGCCGTCGCTTACCATATTCTAAAGATATTAAAACAGAAAGTTTTTCTACTCACGTAACAGCAAGTCTGCCTGACGTAAATAATAAAAAGGGAAAAACAAGAAGAAGCCCATGCATATCTACAAGAACAGCAAATAAAGAAATTTGATACAACAATAAACTAGTAAGCTTCAGTGGTATTTAATCTACATTTCGTGGACAATTTGAAAATAATGCAAAACTCCAGTGTAGGAGATTATATCTTATATCAAAGCACGAAAAAAATCATGATGGCTCCAAGAAGACAAACAAGAGTTGAAATACATTTTGCTTTTGCAAGAAGTGAGTTTCAACCAGACTAAATATTAATTTAACATAATAGAGAACATAAAAAAAAAAAATAACCATAAAAACTCACCCTACTATTGCTTCTTTTAGCACTATCTCCATCTTTTTGAGGAGATACTTCATTGATAGAAGAATATCGCTTATTTACGCTTCTAGACTTTCTTGTTGGCCCCATTACAGCTACTTGAACAAAAAATAAAATGTTAGAAAAAAATCAAAAAGTTAAAAAATTAAACAGTTTAACAATCACAAACTATAACACAGTGAGATATTATACCACATGTACTGGTAATCACAAAACAGGCATCTTTAATTTTCTCTTCAAAAATTAATTCGAGCACAACGAGTATAAAAAGCTATACAAAAGTGAATATAAAGAAGGCGCCAAATAAATTTGCATTCAGGACCAATAATTTCTTATAAACACAACAGAAAAGCAAATAGAAATTTAAAAACCCATTTCAACAGATCAGATTAACTGTAACATGAATTTAAACAATCCAGCATAAGCAAACAAAAATAATATCCACAAAAAAAAAAGAAATACAGAAACAGATCGTGGAAAACCAAAACAGTCCATTTTTCAGTTGTACAAAACAAAAACTCGCAAAGAACTATAATTGAATCGTAAATTACTCAAAAATAACAGTATTGCCAGATAATTTATATAGAAATCCAAAATTTCAGTACACCGTAGCTTCAATTTTACATTCAATATCAAGATCCGCACATTTAAATTTTAAAAAAAATGTGTCTACATCAAAAATACACAGCTTGCAAACTCGCCAACTTCAAAACTAACCCACGTCAAAACTAAATCAACGCCCACTGCCTCTGTTCAGCAATTCCCAATAAATACCAAAAAAAATAGTTCAAATTCAAAATAAATTAATAAAAAAAATTTAAAAACAAAACCGAAAATCACTCAAATTTACAGCAAAAACAAACCATGAAAACAAAAACTGAACCAAAATCGACTTAACAAATTTACCTGCAAAGAGACAAAATTACCAGTTGATAGCCCGAAGAGCTGAAAAACAAATTGAACAACAAAGAAAAAGAATTAAACAAAAGATCAGGAAAAGTCCTATTCACAGAATCAATTCAAAGAATTTGAAACACGGAATCGAGTAGAGAATTGAAGCGTACATCCGATTGGAGATACACAGAGGAGATTACGACTGCGGATGATTTTGGATTTTTGAGAGAGAAGTAGAAGATGGGTATATTTTATTTTTTTGGGGTAATAACCGCGAAACTCTATTTGTATCGTCTTGGGGGTGAAGTGTATTATGATTTGTATTTGATCTCCAAAGGATTACTAAATTGCAAAGCAGTCCCTTATGTTTAATAGATTTCCTTTTATTCCCTATGATAATAATTGAATCAATTTTAGTCCCATGGTGTTTTGAATTCGCTGGTTATTCATCCAAATTCGAACATATGTGGCCGGTCCGGTCCGGTCCGGTCCGGTCCGGTCAAGGATAATTTGTTCAGTTTGTGGTAGACGAAAATTTAAGGCCCGGACCAATTTGGATTGAGGAGCCTTGGATCAAACCTGCCCATTTTGCAATTTTAGCACCTTTTTGAACATTTAACGTTCTTAATCAATAAATAAATGGGAAAATTGCGTACGTGGTCCCAA